GTTCTGCAAAGACACAGAGCTTTGCTTGCATTGCCATCCTTTCCCCAGCCCTCTCCACTGTGTTTGGCTCCTGCTGGTTCCTGCTCTCTCCTTTGCCCTCCCTGAGCTCTCTGGGAGGGCTTGTCTTCTGGCCAGACTGAGCTGAGCTTCTAGAAGGCTCCAGGAGAAGGAAAGAGGCTCAACCTTGCCAGATGGAGAGCAACCAGGAGCCAAACTGGCTGGAGGCCTGACAGGCTGGATTGATATTAACTCTGTGTCTCTGAGGCAGTGCTGCCAGGAGAATGCAGCCAAGTGACCCCAGAGAGAGCAGCTGCAGCTGTGAGCTTCTATCACTCGGAGAGACAGAGGCACGTACACGTAGCACACACCAGGGGACGAGCTTCACCAGGACACACACACACACACACACACACTACATAGAGACACACAAGAATGAAGTAGAAAGGGACACTGAGGCCCAAGGGGGAAGAAGAAATCAGCAGCTTGTCCTCACATGGGCTTCTGCCATGAGCAGTTCTATTTCGGGCCGCCATCCCGCTAGCTAGTGGGCAGGCAGAGCTACTTAAAATACCTGTCGCAAGCCGGCTGGCTCAGCCCGTCTCTAAGGATTGAGATGAATCCCTACTTTAGCCGTGTTACTATGATAAGCAGCACGTAGTGTTAGGGGTACGAGCCATCTGATCCCTCCATCAGTGCCTGCGCACGTGGAGGGGAGGTGGAGGAGGCATGGGTACCCTAGACTGTGAGGACTGAGGGAGGCGGCAGGGTAACCAGTCCACACCGAGCACCTGGGACATTTTTAGTTTGTTTTATTTTACAAGAATGTCTGTTTTCCTGAGTATAAAAGTTAACATATATCCAAGGTATGAAAGGTTTAAATTATTAAAAAATTACAAAGATGGAGGAAAAGTTACCTATAATCCATTTCCCAGAGATATTAGATTAAACTACATGCAGTTGTCATTTTTGTGGGTCAAAATGGCTGAATATCAGTGATTTTATAATATTGGTGTATTTCCTTCCAAACATTTTTCTGTTCCATATATATATATATATGCCTTTGAGATCATGATGTATATTCAAGTCTATGCCCAACTTTTTTCATAAAACCTTATAATGTAAGCATTTTCCTCATATGTCAACAGTTTTTAGTAGTTACATAATAGCCCATCATTTGGGAATATCAAGGGCATTTCCAGAGTCCTGGGTTGAGCTGCTCCAGCGCCCATTCCCGTGGCCCCAGGAAAGAAAGAGCCCGCTTCTGCCGCTCTCTTGGCCAGGGAGCAGCTGGGATCGGCTCCCAGCAGAGCAGGGAGACAGCGCTGGTGACAGGCCACCGGAAGACAGCGGCTCTTGTCTCTGAGGGACGTGTGCGTGTGCGGAGTGCAGAGGGTGGGGAGTAGGAACGTTTGCCCCTGAGAGGCTGGGCAGAGTGGGGAGAAGGGCGTGCTCTCTGCCAGGGACCAAAATAGGGACCTGGAGGAGAGTCAGGTCCCAGCAGGAGGCTGCTCTTGCCCAGAAAGGATCATTTGAGGTGGCACGTCGCTATTTCAGCCACGGACACGTCTGCAGTCTCCGTGCTAACTGAGCTGGGTCAGCAGGGAGGCCGGCTTTCTTCCCAAGGTGCTATCTCTGCCTTAGCCTCCCCCAGGGCCAGCTTCAGGGTCAGAAGTGGCCTTTGGGTGAGACAGACATTGTCCCTCTTGACCATGCTTCCCAGGATGGCTGGAGAGAGAGAGAGAGAGAGAGAGAGAGAGAGAGAGAGAGAGAGAGAGAGAATGAGAGAGAGAGGAGGGAGGAGGCAAGAGGGAAGGGGCCCTCTCTGGTTCT